TCGAGTATCCCACCAAGGACTTCCGGATGATGACCATTTGCAAGGCATCTCTAAACAACAGATGTAGCATAGTAATCTGCATATAAACTCATTTCTATTACGAGTTCGTTGAGTTTGCAAAAGTGAAATCATCTTTCATTAAATTTCATTTGGCGTTCTTACAGTAATGGTAGGAAGGTTTCTTGAAGTTGGTTTTGGTTTGATTTTTCCAGTTCAGGGATTCAGGCATATTCAGGAGCATCATGCACCCAAGCAGATGGCCTTCAGCTATTTCCTTAGGGATTTCTATTGATAATTCCTCAAAATGATTTTGATTTGAGTTATGGAAGTTCTATCAGCACTATGTAAGTATGATTAGATAATATTGAGAATCCTGCAGCAAGATCGTTCAAACTTCATTCTATGAAGGATGACGCCTTCTGGGTAAAATTTGCTGAAATCACTGTAGGCTCAAAACAAAAGTTACCGGGAGATTCAAATTCGTGATGACACGACCAAGTAACATGGTTTGTTGAAACGCATATACATTTTTTGTAGATCGGCTACTCTTTAATCGCAGAAGTTCAGTTTCAAGCGCGGAGTCGTCAGACCAGGGAAAGATAGTACGAAGTAGGATTTCTGCGGGTGAAAATTGAAGTAGACAAGCAAATCAAGTTTGAACAAGCTCCTAGCCCTGGAATCTTCATTTTGATATATCATGAACGTCTATAGCTGCTGCCTGAGTCTGGGGCATCGCGACCATTACGAGGGTAGTCACGACCTCTTGGGCGGCCACCAGAAGAACCGGAATAGCCATTGCCAGCATAATTGCCAGAGCGCGCATAACCGTCCGAATTATAAGGAGCCGAAGAGCGCGGTGGACTCGCAGAGGACCGACTGACATTGAAGGGTGAGGTGATGTACAAACGCAAATAACAAAACCCTTCTCACCGGGGTCGTGGTTCGACGCTGCTTCGGCGAGGATAATCAGCATAGCGGGACGGAGGCGTCAGCGGCCGTCCACGGTGCTCTGGAGGTGCAAAATCCCTGCAATTTTCTCAGTTGCACGTCAAGACGAAAAAATTTAATTAATTCACTCACCTCGGCGGGCGATCGTAATCCTCACGACTGCGGGGTATACTTTGTCTCGGAGGCGTCCGTGCACCGGTAGGATAATGAGAGGGTCTATCGTCTATAGGAGGAGGACGCCTATCATGTCGATCATAATGATCACCGCGATTCGGAGGATAATCTCTAGGAGGGCCATGATTGTTTCTTTCGGCAGGATGGGTTGCTGGTCTCTCATACCGGGATGGAGCCGGAGCCGGAGCTGCTCTAACTCTGGAATCATCGTAGTCGCGACCAGAACGGTGATCTCTTGAGTCTCGTGGAGGCGAGGCCCGTCTTCGGTATTCTCTGTCAGCGGGAACGGCCGGAGGCCGATAATCAAAGCTATCGCGAGCATCCCTCGACGGCGGGTAACGTCCCGACGCCCCGAGGTCCCTTCGATGAGATGGGTAATCCCTGGGCGGCATCCCGCGTGGTGGGTGCAAGCGATCAATAAGAGCATCACTCGACGGTCCAGATCTAGGATGGCTAAGAAAGATGAGTGTATGGATATTGACAACAAGGTGTTACTTACTGCTGAATTGAAGGGCCGAGACAATCTCTGCTCATGGAGCGTTAAGCACAAGAACGCTGAACACAAAACAATTTTCTGCGACTGACCTTGCCCAGTGACCTGTTAGGCCGCACTTGAAGCAGGCTCCGGGATCGCTGGAATGTTTTGTATTGCGGGTGCGACTATGTGATATTTCAACACGAATTTTATTCCCCATGAAAAAACCTTCGTGATATTTGGATACGCTTTCTTGTGCGGCTTCACGGGTATCAAATTCCTAATAACATCAGATACGGATTAGCTGGCCAAAATCTCGAGACTCGGGTAATAAACATACAACAAAGCCAAAACCGACTCTGTGTGCACCATGTGTCAGCGAATACCAGATACATAGTTATTTCAACCTACTTTAACTCGATGTTGACAATCTTCCCAATCTTGCCGAAACAGCTCTGTAGGTCCTCTTGTCGGGTATGATCTGGAAGACCACCAACATACACTTTGTTCGGCTGGTATCGCACAAGGTAAACACCGGTTCCAGAATACGCAGGAAGGGAAGAGCCATAAGAACATAAAAGCGAAAGCAGCAGCAGGCCTGTGTCCAGTCGTCAAAGCCAAGAGACAGAGGTGTCACGGTCATGTACCAATCCCAGATTCCAGCAACGAATACAGTTCAAGCAAGTTCAAGTTCAAAATTGCACCATTGTAGTTGGCAAGCGATGACAGAAGGAGCAGACAGAGACAATTGCACGAGAGAAGATCTAAGCACCTTGGCTTGTTTTTCGCGTTCAGAGGTATAGTTTTTTGCACCTGAATGGCTTCCGTTGACGCTCGATTGTTCGGCATTTTCTTGTTCATCCAGGCCAGGTTCTTCAACAAGTATGGGTGAGCCAGGAGATGTGTCCGCGGCCAAGGGTCCCATGTTATCAAGATGTTGGTCGTCAGAAGAGCCCCATTTGCTTGTCGATTGCATATCTGCATCCACTACGGTGGGAGAAAGAGCCATTGTTGCGGAAATAAAAGTTCAAAGCCACATATATCATAACTAGGGGATCGGCTCATTTTCACACTCCGATGGCCTGTGCGCTTTGCAAAAGCTAAAGCGTTTATATGCAGGAGGGTACATTATGCGAACGTTATGTATACAGCGTCCTCGAGAGAAGAAATAGTATGGTAAAAAAATCCAGAAACATCCGAGGACTCATAGCGTTCGACGTGGTCCATTTCCCAGTCCTAGCATTACTCTCAAAAGACCTATGCCAAGGTCCACATTCCGCTTGCAACACCAACCACAAAGAGCGCACCCATACCGAGGAGAACCTTCCCTTCAGCTAATACCATAGATGCACCACTGGATGAACCAGAACCACCTGAAGACCCTCCTGATCCCGTACCGCTACTGGGGGCAGTAGGCACAAATGTGCCCGTCGCGCTGGCAAGACACGACGAGGCAGCAGCATTGGCAGCGTTTGCGTTAGATGGTGCTTTGCTATTGACGGTCCCGTTTCCACCAAAGCTACAGGATTGAGGGTTGTTTCCTGTTTCGAGGTAGTAGTCGCTCATGACATAGGAGAGCATGACCGCTAAAACGCCGTAAATATCGAGTATTAAACGGAATAGCAATACGTACTAGGATCGCACGCAGATACGGCGCCGTATTGTCCAGTAGTGCCGTTTCCAGCAATGGCGTTACAGCTACCACCTGCTTGACCAATCAAGCTACACCCATAGTTGAGTAGAGTACCTAGGTAGGAGCTGTAATTCGAGTTCGTTGGGGTGAATTGACAGCTGAGGTTGTTCTCCAAGCAGGTACATGCAGCTAGATTGGGTGTTGGCGGGAGTGTTGTAGAAGCAATGAAAGTCGAGTTCTGTTGAGGGCATGCAGGATACGTTGCCGAGCCAGCAGAACTCTGAGCGGGCGTATTCGGTGGCGAAGCTTGGCCATATTGAGTCTTCAAGTTGGTAAAATCACTGCTAACAGTCACGGTGCTACCATCGGGTGAGATGGTGACCATCCCAAATTGGCCTTGAGCGCTTGCCGCTGGGAAATAGGAGAAAGCGACACCTCCAGACCAAACAGGCGACATCTGGGAACTCAAAAGAGCACCGACCTCGGTGAATAATCGAGGAGGGGATGTAATGCATCCGAACTCGCTAAAGTAAGCTGCGACGTTATAGCCTGCAAACTGTCCTTCGACATCGGCATACGATGCCTGGAAAGTGGAATCACCACACCACTGACTAAAAAATGCTCAATGGGAGTTGTGATACCTCGTAGTAGCATTACTTACTAGTTGTTCAAACCATAGAGATCGATAGCAGAAGCGCCCGAATTAGTGCCAGATGGATCGCACGATAGATAGTTTGCAAGGGGATCAAGCCAAGTCGCATCGCCGTCGATAGACGCATAACCAACCAGGGCAGAGGATGATTTAGAATTACTGTGAAGATAGGAATAAAGTATAACCTATGAGAGCGCCCGCGGGGTATTTAGGGAGATGCTCACAGATAGGCTTTAACATCACGAGCGGCAGCCTTAACATAGGCAGCGGCATACGTACCATTAGGAGCAATGACGACTTCATTTCCGACGTTGTAGGCCAATACATTGTCGTACTTTGCGAATGCATCAATGGTTTCGAGATACAAATCGAGAAGGTTCGTGGTCCACGACGGAGCGTCACGATCAAGAGAGCCATTCACGGGTAGAGATAGATCGATGCTGAAAGCGAGTTTAGTGTCTGAGCAATTCGGAGGAAAGGCGGGCCTACATTGTATATATGCCAGCATTGCTAAACAATTGCATGCAAGCATCATGATTCAAAGAAGAGTTCACGCTATAAGCCCGGATAGCGTTAACGCCAAGCTGTTGAAGATACGGCAGATCACGTTGGCACGCGGTTCCGTTAGCCAGAGGATCGATGAAGGTCGACGGTTCAAGGAATGGATTGTTTGGATCCGCAACAACCGCACCTAATGGATGATAAGTCTGCAATCTGGTTGGAACGAAACCTAATTAATTGACTCACCTTGTTCTTGATACGCGACACCCTTAATATAGAACCTGTTGCCGTCTGCAGTGTAAAGGTATCTCCCAGAGCGAGTGACCTTGGAGATGGCGTCTGCACCAGAAAGCAGAACGCTCGCCACTACGAGGCCTGCGGTGAGGCTTAAAGCCCTGAACATGGCTGGACACAAAAGATAAGGAATAGAACGGGAGGTAGAGGGAGTGTGGGCACGATTCAATCGCAAATGGTTTTTTTTATTTAAGGCAATGGGGATGCGGGCAAAATGTGAATTGGTGAGAAGCAACCGGCGCCAAATGTCCAACCACCTCTAAATAGCGCAAACTTTAAGGAACACCAGCGCTAACGTCTGTCACCACGGGCGCTCAAATATCGCCCGCCTAGCTCAATCGGATAGAGCGTCAGACTCTTACAAAGGCGGGTTGTCAGGTGATCTGAAGGCTGCGAGTTCGACCCTCGCGGTGGGCTAGTTGATTTTATTTAACTTTTCATCAGTATTTTGCTGCTATGTTGGCCGACGTTGACACCCGTATCCGTATCAATTATCAACCTCGGCAGTCGGAGTGTTTATTTATTTTTTATGACAGAGACTGCAACACATGCACAGATCCAGCGGTGTGGAGTATGAAGCCAGCAACTTGGTTGTGGAAAAAACTAACGACGCAAGTTTTATTGGTTCGAGTGATTATCCTCCTCGCATGGGGAATCACGTCCTGCGAGGGACACAATCGTAACGCGTCCCAGCGGAAAACATGCTGTTGTCCGCAATTACCTTCTAGAGCTTGTCGGTGTCATATGTGAGCGCGGCCACGATGTAAATATTCGGAGCGACACCTATAACAAGATCTCAAAGTAAATTCCAAAAGAAAAATGCTCTGAAGAAACGTAAATTCAAACAGACGAGATTGATACATTTATGGAGTGCAGACTGTTGGACGTGGCATATATTCAGAAGGGATGGCTAGAGTTCATATACATACACTAGAGGTCGATAAGGGAAAGAACTTATGAACGTCATTCAATAGGATATCAGATGCTCAACAGTAAATCAATGTATCGCGTATGTCCATGCGTGTGCAATGCTCTCGGTGCCATCCACAATTCGTAAAATAATGAGGGGGTTTCGCAACTGCATCAAATCAGGTCGGAAGACATGCGTTCGACCGATGGGTGTTTCCACATGGTTCGTCTCTCAGGGCTTTGCGGGTTGACGGCGAGGTTTGATGGTCGTGCCAGCAGGAGAGGCGATTTTGATTCGTTCGTTACACCCTACACCAACAGCAGAAAAGAATATTGATGAACTCGAGCTGGATAAGAATCCTTGTGTTACTGCCAGTGATAAATATCAGTGATAAAACAACAATTCAATCCGGTAGATGCCGAGATTGGGCGTGGAAACCTTATTTCAGCCACTGTATAGTTATCTGGTATGCGGGAATGACTGGGTGAATTTGTGGAATAGCGTCCCCATTGCAAGCAACATCCCCGGCAAGGTAACATACACCTCACCACAGTATTGATCGGATTTGACTTCAGCCCTGTCAGTATCTAGAAAAGCTACAATGACCCACGACGCCGTTTGGTTCTCTCGTCCTAGAAAGTATGGAAAAGGAAGCCGTCAGTGGTGAGTTGTAATACTAGCTCTCACAATGTCTTGCAAGCAGGTCTGATTGGAGCAATGATATCAGCCGCCTTTGCGCACATCAGGCTGGTTTGATTCGCAAATACGGCCTTGACCTTTGCCGTCAATGTTTCCGTGAAAAGTCGGCTGCTATCGGATTCACCAAGGTGTGTTCTTTCGTTTACTGCAAGTGTGCGTATTTCTTATTTCACTTTAGAACCGGTGAAGCTCTTGATATTATCGCATTGTTTCTACTACTATTTCAACACGCTTTCTCTACCATCCACCTATGTTTTGTATGTCTATGCTAGAGTATGGGGCAAGATTGCGAAACTCAATAAAATAAGCCGTCTCTCGGCGTCAGCAAACATTTTTGAAAGGTGTGCAGCGTTTCTTTGAAATTGATAGATATTCCGAATCCCCCCACGATGCACACATTTGAGCAACGACGTCATGGATTGAACTGTTTGAACAATAAGTACAGAAAGTAGTGCTGCGACGGTTTAGCCAATTAAACAGACATTGCTTTAGATGATGAAAAATTAGGGCTATACAAGTGTGGCAGATAGAAGAATGTTCAGAAAGCAAAAGAAATAGCAATGGGTGAATATGCCGGTGTGCGAAGTACAAATGCGCGGTGGTATGATAGAGGTCGGTCGAAGCCCGATGCAGTAAAATCTCCAGGACGATGAGGACAGTAGTCGATGCATGGAGAGGTATCGGTCGTCGAGCTCAATGGCATAGAATATACATAGAATAGAGCATTAAAGAGCGAAGATGACGGAACAATCGAACGCGAATATCAGCTCAGCAATGGTGCGAAGGGAATCACATCCCGTAGCCATAGCTCTGATAGGGATCATTCAACGCCGCAGCCATGCCAACGTTTCCGAAGGGGCTCACGTTGGCATATGCAGACACACCGGAGTAGGCGCCGCCATGGGCATGAGGAGGTGTCAGGCTGGTGTTGTGGGGAGAGTTGCCTTGTAGAACGTATCCGTCGATCGAGCGGGCATGATGCAGTTGCGGAGCCATGTGAGAGTGACCGTAAGAACCTTGGCCTTGCATGCCATAAATGCCGCCTTGAGCAGCATATATGTCAGCCATAGCGTTGTTCGCGTGCATCCCTTGGGGTATATGCCGACCAGGAGAGTGATGACCGTGGCTGTGACCAACCATGCCCTGGTTACCGAGGCCAGTCATGTTGGCCATTGCTTGGGCGCCTTGATAACCTCCAAAACCATCCATTTGTTCGCGTTGAAGTTTGTTTTGGATGCGCTTGCCATAGGGTGTATTGCGGATCAAAGGAAGAACAGGACGAATGCCTTCAACTAGGAGAGCGCGTTGAGCAGGCTCGGCGTAATCCAACGCAGTCTAAACCCCGGTAAAAAATCCAACAAACATCCACCAAGTTTAACAACTTACTTGAACGCAATAGTTGCCATATGAATCGCGAAGTAGTTTTTCCAAGCGAGTACGATTGAGCAGCTCCTCAATAAGCATTTTACGTGTGCTATGTTCGGCAACACGGATACACTGCGAACACTATAAGTTGGAAGGAAAGGCATGGGTGAATTGCAGACTCACTTTTTCGATAACATTGGAGCTAAATTTCTGAACAGAAAGAGCGCATACATTTCCGGCGAATTGACGAATGACGCCATCGCTAAAGCGATTATCATTCAAATCTAATATATATTGCACGACCTATTTGCAAGAATGAGATTTTTTATTATTAACAAAATTGAAGAAATAATCACTGACATAGTTGCCATAGGGATCTTGAACGAGGGTCAGAGCGTTGTAGGTGATCTCATTAACGAGTTGCACGCGTTGGTGATCGGAAGCATGATCAATGCAACGTTGTAATACACAACACCCATGACGGTGCGTGGCAACCTCCACACAGTTGGCGGCGACAGCGTTGTAGATAAACTATTGATCCCACTCAGTGAACATGTATATCACGTTACCTTGGATATGCTTACCTGATTATCTTCGGGTGCAAGCTTGTTGAGACATTTCTGGATAACGTGGTTGCCGTTTAAATCCTTGATAAGCACTACAACATGGAGGCTGAGCGCAACAATGATAGAGTGGATCTGAGTGTTGTATCTAAGATCAGTCTGGATTCATTCTCCCCGTAAGTGTGGAAGAAGAAATATAAATGAGACTAGACTTGCCTGGCGGCGGGTAGACAAGAAATCTATCATCTTTTGAACAGCGCGTGTGCCATGCATATTGAGTGAGATATTGACAAGGTCCTGAGCCACGGATTCGCAGATGACATTGCGCTGCTCATCTGTGGAAAACTCGAGTAGCTTTTGGCAGAGGTAATTTCCAAAAGGATCTGCAACGCTGAGTCTTAGACTGAGAGACCGGTGGATGAGATTAACTTACCGGTCATTAAATCCGCAAAATGACCAAACGTTTCGCGGAAGATCATATCCCGATGTTCTGGAACGCCTTCTTCAAGCTTCTTCTGGAGATAGCGGCATCCATGCTGATCCTTGCACAGTGCAGGAATTTCTCCTTGGAGGTCTTCCAATCTTGTTCCAGCGAAGCGATTAACTATATGACATTTAGATTGGATGAATATACCCTGGAGGGGAACTCACACTCACGATCCATATCGCCACGTTTGTGCTTGGGCCCATGAAGACCATTCATCTTGCTGTCTGTACCATTACCACGCGCCATTGCAAGACCATATCGAGACCCATTGTGATGATAGAGCGCAGTCGAACCGCTCGTACCATTGGCAGCGGGACTGCTACGAGCGCCAGTGTCAAAGCCGTAAGAGTTGTACGCTGCATTTTCCAAAGAGCCGCCAATCCCATACACAGAATCAACGCCATAGGGCTAAAGCCAGATAATTAGGATCATTTGGACGGATAATTACCTCGATGGAACAACACAGTACCTCAAAGGATAAAGACGCGTCATCGTATTGTCCAGAGGATAAACGTGAGAGTGATGGCTGAATCTCACCCTTACCGTCATCGGTAAGCTGATGGCCCTGAGATGACAACCGGCCACTCAAATTATGTGTCTCGGGTGTAAGCGGGGTGCCTGGAGTCTGCAGTAAATGTGTCCCTGCAGTGTTGTTGATAGACAATGGTGTCGCGGGAACAGAACGCGTGGTAGTCGACAAACCATCCATGATACCCGAAGGGGATCCTCTACGAGATGACGGGGCTTGTGAAGTGGACGAGAGCGACATCTGTGAATGCTGAGCTCCATGAGGAGTGGAGTTGCCAGCTAACTTGCTAGACAAATCAACAGGAGATGACGTGAGAGTCAACGTTGGGTTAGTAACAGTGCGTCTGTCGGTTCGAGCGTTGAGACCCTCTGGGCCACGAGGGTTTCCAGAAAACTGAGGCCATTCCGATGGTTTTTCGCCGCGTCCCGAGAAAGAATTGCGTGGTGAGGTTTGAGAAAGATGCGCCAGATCCAAAGCAGCAGAAGACGTAGACACCTTCGATGAAAAAATTAGCCATGAGGAAACTAATAACGAAAATTAAACAAGGTTACCTTATTATAAGATGTATTGTACTTGTCATCATCCGATGTTGGCAGGTTTCTCATCGCATCTTAATTCCAATAAGTCAGATTCTGACACACGTAAAATGGCGAAACATACTGTGCATCTCTTGATCAAGCTGCTCGTCAAGCATCATTCCGACGTTGTAGGGTTGCCCGACGCGGTTCCGATCGTCTTCGGTATACCTCGATCGAGACATTGAATGCCCCATTGCCCCAGGACTGGGAGATCCTCTTGTGCCCCGCTCTCCAGCCAAGGAGAGACCATGTAGATGGCTAGCAAGTTCTTCGTCGTGGCTGCTAG